TCTAGGTCTGTGTCGATATGACACGCGGCGAAACCGCCGACTGTAATATTATAACGATATGCGTACTCGATGCTGAAAAAAAAAAAAAATGTTTTTATCACGCTATTAGGTATATACCTGAGTATAATAAAATGTTATTCGCGAGTATGTTGGGTACGAAAACTACACCGTCAACGCCCACCCAACGCCGAGAGTGGGTACAAGTATTCTGCTGCAGCTGCTGCTGCATTGTGCAACGACTATTCGAATGGCCAGACGCAATGGGAGCCGAGTGAATAAATTCGATTGAATAAATTACGTCGTGTTTAATCGATGCGATTAGCGACTGCAGTATGCCCACGCCTGGCTACACTGTCCCGTTTGTTTTTGTCCAGACGGAAAAGTTTTTTAAAACGAAAAGTTTCTATGCGTCGATCGCGTCCGAGAAAAATATTTCATCCACAGTGTTTATTTTTTGTCTATTGACAAATGTCCTACTGTCAAAAACACGTTTGAAAACATATTTTTCGACGGCGGAGGTCGGTGGCTATAGTTCTTCGTCGCAGTTTTCCTTTGTTTGTTGTGCGAAATCCGATTTCACTGCTTGCTAGTTATTACTATACGAATGTTATTATTATTACTATCGCTGTTGTTGTTTTTATATCTTAGGTCTCGAACAACGACGCATCAATAACCGATCGCATTTTTCACACCACACCTCTCGACGAGTGCAACACACATATTATGGTTTATATATATAGATGAGGAAAAATCAACGCGACCCTGTCTATCTCCCCCCCCCCCCCCCATTGACCATCGCCCAACAGACTTATGACGATAATGACAACTATCACCTTACTAAGCTGTATACTTTAGCCCGATCGAAAACAGTGGACGGAGTGTCAGCATTGATATATTATAAGATTATGTGTTTGAAAGTATTTTACCATTGATGTATAATTATTTATGTAATATTAAATACAATTCTAGTGTTTCAATGATGGATTGTTGCACATTAGAAATTTACCGAGTGGTAATGTGTGTGAACTCGAAAAATAAACTCGTTATCATAATAGTAACTATCGCCAATAATATGTGATAATCTCATCGCTATGCTGTAGTTGTGCTAGTTCGTTGAATTTGTATTATATTGTCATTATAATGAGAGGACTCTTTGTTTGAAAAACCTGGATGCATTTTTTTACCGCCCGGTTTAGCCAAAGAGTGACGTTGGACCATTATATAGACCCGAGTCGTTTGGTTAAAATATCGCATCGACTTTCGGTGTTTTTCCTTTTTCATAGACACTATATACAAATAATAATACTTTTTCGTTTTCACGTCGATGGTTTGCAATTAGTCTCGTGTCGTACATAATTCCACGAATTATTCCTGAAACTATGTTCCCGGGTTTTTTTTCCTGGAAGTTTCGATTCAATAATTTCTACTTAGGTTAAGTTTTTTTCTTTTAATGGTTTTTCTTTACTAGCCCCAGAGACATTTTTATACTTTATCCGTTGACCCGGGTTGTTAGTTTTTAAGTACGATTCCGGGAAACATTCGATTTTATACTATCGCAGGTATTGTGGTCAATTTTACTCCAACATATTGATCATTATGTGTATTACAGATAACTAAAAATATATCAGCAGCGAATTGTGAACTAATCGAGTGTCGCATACAATTTAAATTTTAATTAAAAATGTTCAACACGAGGAGAACTTTTGTTGGGCAAAACAAAAATATTTTTTTAAAGCATAAAATAGGTTGTGTGATATAATTTCATATCCAATTTCAAACAATAACATCAACTTTTATAATTATTTCGGATCCGCAGAAAAAAAAACATCATAATATACCTGCACAAATGTGATTTTGTTCACAGAGTATAGGCAGTTAGCACTGTATTATTATACAGTATATTATTATTCGAACCACCATCTGAATTCTAATCACATAATAAAATTAAAAATATTCTTATCAAATCCCCTAGTGAACCAGACAATAACAAAATAAAATTACACGTATATTGGATAATCCCGATCGTATTTTATATTATTGAGATATAATTTACTCGTTTTCGAACACCATTTGGCTGATTTCCAAGTAAAAAGTATCTATTGCTAATGGTATTGCTGTGGCCATTATTGTTATTGTTATTAACCATCATCATTCTTAGCTTGTACCTATAGACCATTGGTATCTATTAAATCATTTTTTTTATACGTGTTTTAAATTTTTAGTTGCCTACTAAAAGTATACAATTTTTAATCGATTTGTTGATTTTTAAAGTATCAGTAATGTTTACGAGTATTGTACCGCCGAAATACTTCAATATATTATCAATCTAATAATCTCGTTTTTTCATAATAATATTGTTCACAGTAGTTTGTTCACTTTTCCACGATCAAATTGTGTAAGTGTAAATCATTTTTGAACAAACATTACACAGGTAAAATGTCTGTAAAATATATTTTTACCGCACGATGTCTGATTGTGTTTATATATTTTGTAATTTATCGGAGCTCATCAAAATAAATCACTCATAGCGGGCAGTGTGCTATTATATTTTTATATAAATTATGAAAATGACACAGTCCGTAATGATGTATGTATTTGTTTCGAGCGGTTCAATGCAAACAACAGACGAATAAAAAAAAAGGTATTGCATTCGTTAACGGGAAAAACCCCCTCAAAGTATAATAATAATAATAAAACCCTTTATACGGTTTAACGGGCGTTTTGTATAGGCAATATAGGTGCATTCCGGCGATTGTGGTTCGACAGTGTTAATGACATTATGCGAGTTACATCGTGTTAGTTAAAACAGTGCAACAGACAATACGTAATATAAATGCATCGGCATAAGTTGTCGAATCTTATGAGGCTTAAATATTTATGTTTTCAATGTGAATTTTATGATTGAAATCAGTGCCTCTATTGAATCAATACCCGGAAAGAAAATATCTCATCTAACTTCTTTGGTTGCCTATGTAGTGTCGACTGTAAGACGATTATTTGCTATACGTTATTAAAACCCAACACAATTCAATGACATAATATACATAGCTGTATACGAATTAAAGTCAAAAAGTGTTACACTTGAAACTGATCCTGACATTGCGCCTTGTTGACTTTAAAGCTGGTAGTTTCTCGACGCAAAACCAATTGTTAATGTCGCTAACGATTTCAATGTTAAAACGCTGATTCTGCAACACACGCACACACACTCACACATACACACACTCACACGCACATGTAAGCAAAGTGACAACCAAACTGCGATCCGAACGACTTAATAAAAAAAAACATTGTCGTTTATATTCGTTGTTCTAAGAGTATAATGTTTTCGCTTCAGCGGTGGCACATCGAACAAAGCGAATCACGTGTACCGAATTGATTTACATAATATTATTATTATCGCAATGTCTGCGGTTCGCGGACCGTTGATCGGCCGCGTTCGATATTGTACTTCCTCTCGCTCCCGTCCTCACAACCAATACGGACACACTCGTCTTACTCTAAACGCACGACTCGGACGATTATTTACCGGCGTCAATAACAATTAATTTTTAAATATCGTAACCACCCTACGAACCGCCATGCCAGAGAGAGAGAGAGAGAGAGAGAGAGAGAGAGAGAGAGAGAGAGAGAGAGAGTCGAAACTATTCGCCCGTTTGTGTTCGCACGTGACTCGCCCACAACGCGTGTTATCGTGTTTTACCTGCAAACGCGTCCGAACTATTTATCGCACTCGGTTTTCCGGCTAAATACTAAATAGAGTACAGCGTTTGTTATTACAATTATTATTATTAATATTATGTGGTACGCGCGTTGTATGAGCGCCGACGATTCGCGGGCACGGGAAGACGGAGAACCGACTGAAATGTTGGCAAACAAGCTCGACCGTAACAGTTACGGGCGGTTGTAAATTTAGATTTTTAATGTTTGTTATTCCGAGTGAAATAACTACTCTATACATTAATATATTACCTAAAGGCCAGAGAGACCGCAGTAACCAAACGAAATTCCGTGCAATGAAAACTACAAAAAACATTATTTATTATTAAACGACGTCTGTTGTCTGCGGCTTAAAAAAATAAAGACAAAGACAAAACGGCCGTCATAATTGCACCGGATCAAATGTTTTTCTTTCATTCCAAAGAGTATATAATTGTACAGACGCACAAACTTAATGTGATTACAGTTCATATGATGGCGATCGATCGGTGCACGGCGAGATGATGAGTTCATAGTGCGCACACATTATATTATTACGATTATAAATTATTGTTTCAATGTTGTAATCTCAGGCGTAACGGAAGTAGGCAGTATTGATAAAATATAATAGTAAAATTCGTTGATAAAGCACGCAATTCCGTGTAAATATGACGATTAAAACAAAATTGTACGTTATGTTGTATAGTATACCTAAACGAAGTCAATATTTGGTGTTTTCTTTCTGTTTAAGTTTTCGAACAGTATTCGAAATCGCGGCAATGGTCTCGGAGTCTTTACTCTCATTTATTACTATAGCTGTATATGGTTTGAAATTCATGATTTTCATCAAACTTAAACATCTGTTGAATCTGTCCCGATACCAATATGTATGGTCATAAAACTAATATTACAGACATGGTGTTTAGAATTAATGATGAATTTCGATGCCTAATTTATTCACAGTCACATTGTACCCGTACAATAATTTATCGGTGAAGTCTTATTTAAAGAATTTACGAGTTCAACGAAGGTTCATTCGTTGACATTCGACGATTTTAAATAGTAAAATATTAAGACGAAATCTCTGAAATTTGTCATCACGTGTGTTGGGTAGAAAAATAGACACCGAAACCATAATACGTACACGTAATCGATGGTTCCATGTATGGGTAAGCCGAAAACCTGTCTCTGCAACGCGCGAATAAATAATTATGAATAATAATTACTATTGATGTGTGTTTATTGTATTGATTTTTGATTTTTGTACGTTGCGTCTAACGCGGTTATTATTTCTGTTTCAGAGTCCGTTTAATGAGACCCGAGGATGGACCTCGATCGGAGACTGAACAAAGAATACGACGACGTATCAACGCAACCGTGTATTATGCATAATACCATATTATTGTTACAATAAGATAATAATAGTCGGTATTGAAAAAAAAAAAATATATTCGATAACTATTATAAAATATTATAATAACGAAATTATTGTTCGAAGTTCTCGGAACAAGGTGTGCACACATAATAAGACGTACCATGAATGATGTCGATGTATATAATAATAATAATAATAATATGTATTTGATGTTTGTATATAATTATATTACAAAAATACGATAATAATATTATATGCACAGTGCACACACATCGTTGTGTGTCTGCGTGTGCGTGTTGTGTACGCGAGCAATGTTTTATTGTAATTATTATAATAATATTATGTTATTATCCGTAAACTATTAAAACGATAAGCTTTTCATCAACGGACTTCCTCTTTTCACGCGCAGTCTCGTTTTCGCGGTACATGTTGTGTTATAATAAATAAAAATATGAATGTAATATAAAAAAAAAAAAATACAAAAAAACCAAACAACGGTAGCAACAATGGCAATCGATCGGAATAAGCGAGACCGAAAATATTATGTAGGTCTTGTGTATACAGTTAGTGTGTGTATTCACACGAAATCGATATTCCGAAAAATACCAGTTTCCCGACATTATTAACAATAATAATATTATGTTTTAAGGGAGCCTAAAAAATACAAAAAAATAACTACAAAACCGTTTCGAGGTTTTCACCGGTGTATCTGCATGTACATACAGTTAATATAATATATTGTAATAATTATATGTATAATTTATTTTAATGTCGTTTTAGCCCTTAAGTCGTATACACCTGTAACTGTATTATCTCGATAACTACTACCTATGTGTATTTATATTAAGTGTAAAATGTAAATAGTATTGTCGCAATATTATACAAAATGCATCGATGAAAACTAAATAAAAAAAAGTCGCGGATCCCTCCAAAGTGACGTTGCCAGCAGGTACCTATATTATAATATTATTATGGCCGTCGTTATTTCAATTATTATTATTTTGTGTGACGACGGCGGCGATCAAACTACCACGCGACTCTGAGCCACCCAACGGATAGATCTTAACAAGTTTGTTTTCATTATTAAATTCTCATCATCAAAACTTTTAAATGTTTAATCTTTTTTTTCATTATTTTTATTATTATTACTATTATTATTATTATTATTATTTGGTTCCGTGACTGAAAGGCTGACTTTATAATATAATATATCTGTTCTTATATAAACAGTGTGTATTTAGGTATAAGTTTTTTTTTACGGTTTTATCGTTTTGGTAAAATCTTACGGCTTGACGGTTTTTTTATCGATTTAAAACAGTTTGATGTAGCTTCCCTCCAAAAAAGTATTTAAATGTCCTCTCTCCGATCTGCGGGTTGAAAAAAAATCGAAAATATTTTTAATCTTACTTTGGCTATATAGCGGTGTGTCTTACCACAACATATGGTTCCAATGACTTGTACTAGTGTTTCATTGTTTTTAATTTGTCGATATTAAATGTACATTTTAATAATTGATCACGTGTACCAACGAAACGTTTTTTAATATTTTACAACCTCGACCTGATTATAATATTATAGCGACAAATTATACAATTTAGCACACAATATTATTGTGATCACCGTTATTATTATTATATAATTATATAGTTTATAAAAGAAATCGAGTAGCCACTGCCGTCCCCCTTGTGTATATGTATAAAATCGATTGAGTATTATTATGCCGTACGGTTATATATATATTATTATTATTATAGTTTTCGTAGAAATGTTTGTACATTATGTTTGTTTTTGTGTACACGATAAAAAATAAATAAATGCATACGACCAAAATCTCATTGCGCCGTTGTCATTATTGTTGTTATAGCATTATGTTACGGGTTACACTTAAAAAAACTTAGTTTCAATTTTACAGCTGTGTACTGTTGTACGTCGTGTGTGTTGCGCCTCAGCAGCCGAATGACGACTTGTGATACAAAAAACGATGTGTCCGCACTTCCCTGTAAGAAGATGTTTTTTTTCATGCCACGTGCCCACTGGGGGCTCGTCATTTGTGGGGTGTGAGGGGGGAGGGGTCGGTAGACTTGAAAGGGAACGTTCTGCAGCTCTGAGAAATGTATAAAAGTCGATAGTTCAACAATCATAATAATATAACGGGGAGAAACGTTCTTACATGCACAATAATAAACAATAATATTATAATATTATTAAATATGAATTTATAGTTCGGGATACATTGGTTGCATATTCACTTATCAGTTACCTATACATTGATCAGTAACCCATAATTATTTTATAGTTTTGTCTGCGGCAGATTGATGGCTCAATAGTTTAGTTTCGTCCCACAAACACAATTCAAATATATATATTTATACATGGAGTAATTAGTAATATTAAATTATACCGTGTCCCCTGTCTTAGCGGACCCACGGTGTTGCTACTATTAGGTATATTATTTTATAATATTCTCGAAACCCTTTGCCCCCCCCCTCCCCCCACTTGGTGAAATCTGAAATGACGCATTTGGCACCTTTCATCTCGGTGCATACAATATAAGCGAAACTTGAACACTCTGTAGCCAACCATATATTTTGAAATCGATTTTTTAAACGCAACGGACACACTGCGTACTCCCTGCCAAGTTCCAGAAAAGAAAGATTTTCGAACATCTTGAACTAACCATTTGCAACGCGCCACACAGGGGCTGAAAAAAAATCCCGACGAAATTTTCCGGTGGTTTATGTATGCAACGCCGACTATCGTTTCTCAGTTGTACGTACTTCTCAAGCGAAAGGGGTATAGACATGCGCAGAACTTTTTGCGCAGCCTGCTGAAGAGTAACATATTTTTCGATTCGCGGTGACGTTTGCCAACCGCGCCAATCACGTTGCCGGTTTTAATTTGTATAAAACCTTCCAAAAATATTATTATAATAATTTATAATCTTATCTTGGTGCAGTCGTCGCCGAGAAAGACAACTGTACTACTATCTAATCGATATTTTCAACGATTATGGTCCATAACATTTCTATAAAATAATATGTACATTCGTATTTATAATATATGAGTAAAATAAGGACCGAGATGAATGATGAAGCACTGCAGATGTTGAAGAGAACTAAAAATTTACTTGAATATAAACCGGCTAGGTAGGTATAATTATTAAAAATCCAATTATAGTATGTCTACGGTTAACGTTGTTCTACTCAAGTTTTATTTGTATTAATTTTAAACTATTAACATAATAATACACCGTGCGTTGTATATGGCTCATTTAATACAAAAACGGTAAGTATTTATAAATTCAGTTATCTAACTATAGTAATTGATGAATATAGAAAACATGTATTGAAATGTAATCAATATTTTAAACTGCTGCAGATATAATTATTCCTTACCTATTATAAGCTTTAATCGTCGGTTTTGTGTATTTTTTAATGCGCATGACTATAATATTATATGCTAGGGAGATATAACGTGTACCGTTTCCATTTTAGTACCCTGGTACATATAGGTATACAGGTATACTTTTCGTTTGAAATCAAACACGGAGAACGATTTTCGATTTTTTGGCAAGTACTGTTACGTAAGGTTATAATAACGCGACCATGTTTAAACGCTCTATATTTATACGAGGAATTCATTTCTTCCTCGACCCCCCCCCCCCCCCCCCCCCCCCCCAACCCCAACCAATGGTGCCGTTATTATTTATTACGATATCGCCACGACCGCGGGGGACATAAATTATCGTTTCATGCAAAGTCAAATAATATACGATATGATACCGTGTACGCGTCGGCCGCGGAGGATCGGAGAAATCCGATGCAAGCTCATAAGTCCTCTCGGGTGGCACGCGCTTGCCGGTAAAAAAAAAAAAATAACAAAAATCCTAAGAAGAAGAGGAAGAAGAAGCCGACGACCGCCGTGGCTTACACAGGATGCAATAATTTCTGGTGGCCCGTCCAGAGTGTACGTCGGGCACATAACACAGCGGACAAGTAGGGACGACGCGTCGCACAGGGTGTATTTTTAAACGCCGGGCGCCAACGGATATCAGAGGCGGTGGCATCGGCAGTCGCAGTCGTCGCGCCGCGTCCGTTTCGAGTAACCGAGTGTGCAATCGTCACGACGACAGACGACAGCGGTAGTAAATAATAGTAATTTAAAAAACGAAAAAAAAAAATTGTAATAATTTGCAATACGCGTAATGCAGTGCAATTAGCGCGGTAATAATATATTATTCGTTGGCGCCGCCGCCTAGACAGACCTGCAGTGGCCGAGGACAAAGCGTGCACACGACGACGATATAACCGCGCGGGACCGCACTCGACGGACGCACGCGAGGTGAGTACCGATAACGAATACATTTTTTGGCTTAAGGGGGGCGTTTTTGGGTGTGGAAAAGTTGCGACGGTGGATTCCGTTGCCCCAGTGGATCCAAAATAGTATACATCTATGGTAAAAAATAAACAGGTCTCAACCGCATTATAGGTGACGCGAAATGCAGCACGTTCTACTACTGTTCTGTAATGCAATGCGTCGTTTTTATTGACGAAGACTCCACACGATAATATATTATTATATAACTGGCGAGATTAGCAACAATCCGAAAATGAGATACAACACTACTGTTACCCCCCCCCCTTCCAGACTATAAAAAATGATCCCAGACCGTCGAGTACGGAGTTTCCGGTGAATGATATTAATTTATTTGTAGGTATTCGCCAAGCAATTTTCCCAGAAAATCCACTCCAGATACCACTTGAAAATTAAAAAACCTTTTTACATGCTGCTTGCAATAATTATTAGTTTTAATAGACTGTGTTTGTAACGGAACTTATCACTGAACTATTTAAAACGAAAAGTTTGAGCTGAGCCGTTGCACGTTTTGATAATTTATTTCGAAACGGAAAAAACAATAGAACGCCGAAAATTCGTATTTTGTGATTAATTTACTTAACTGCACGTAGTTGATGCATCAATATTAATTGTAAGCATTATAACTTATGAGTCATTATAGTTTGCCGGGCTCGCATAAATTAAAGGTAGGTACTATTATTTTATAACAAAATAAGTTTCGAGCTTGATGCTCGTCGTGTGTATCTTTCGTGGGTGGGTGGGCTTATAATATTATAATACTTGTTTTCTATTATTGGTTTTTTTTTTTTTAAACATTGTATTAACTCTTCGTACTATGTAATTTCACGGTATCAATAAAATAAGGAACATCCGAATTCGATTTAAACGAAATATCAGAGCAGGACTTCAGGATGTGTTGTTATTATTATTACAACATTTATTCATTTCTTTGCTCACGTAAATAAATTCGAAAATTGAAATGTAAACTATAAGCGTTTTATTCGTATACATTTCGAGGTAAGCATTGCAGAGGAGGAAAAGGTTAATAACAAATATTAACTTCACAAACTTAATTGTATACATAAAATGTGTAGGTATAGCTGAAAAAACGCCATCATTCCTAACCAAAAGA